TACGTTAGAAGAAGTGGGGGTACTGGCCCCCACTGTTTTTTTTCTTTTAAGAACATTAGTTATATAATTTAATAAAATTTAAAAAATGTAATAATGCCCCCATTGAAATTTATTGTGGACCCCATCATTTTTATTTTTTAATGTATTTTGTGATGTTAGTTAACAGATCAAATAAAAAAAAATTGTATTTTATTTTTTTCTCGTTTTCTTCGTTATCTTCTATTTTCAAATTTTTTATTTTTTTAATTAAATAAAAAATATTATCAATTCAATTATAATCAAATTAAAACTAAAACTAAAAATAAATATTTATAAAAACTATGAATTTAAATAATCTTTATTATTTTTATTTGTTTGAACTATAATGAAAGATACGATCAACCAACATTTATCGAATTTGAAAAAGAGTAATTTTTATATATTTATTATATTGATAAATTTATCTATATATATTTATATATTTATTTAATTTTTATTTGATTTGATAAGGAAAACAATAAATAAACTTTTAAATTTTTTTTTGTAATAATATCTTAATATAGTGGTAAAAGTTCAACCGATAATTTACTAAAAAAAATTCAACCGGTAATACATTAAATTTTTAATTTTTGAGTTATTGTCTAGTTTATTTTATAAAAAATATATATTTTAAACAGTTATAAATAGAATTATATAAATATATTTTAAAAAATAAGAAATCATAGAATTCAATTGTTGAAGCTAAACATTTTTTAGATGATATTTTTTATTAAAATTTTATTATATATATATATTTATATTATTATTGTTTCATTGCCTCCGCTGAAAAAATTTTCTGGATCCGCCACTGTATGAGTGGATTGATATATTTTTGACTCGCTAAAAAATGGGTTAGGACTGAGTTGGGCTAAAGCTTTTCCAGATCGGGATAAATCGGGTTGGACTGGGTCGAGCGAGTCCGTTTTACACCCCTACTTATAATTGTCTCCCACCTTCAGAAAAAAAAAACGGAAAAAATTTTTAAATTAATATGGGCTCTTCTTCGTATTGGTCTTTATTTTTAAATCCTTTGCATTCCATAGTTTTCAAGTGTAAAATGACCGATATTTTTTTTGTTAATACAACCAAATTGGCCAAAATTATCCCCATGTGACCGGAGAGGAGAGGGAATTTAAAAAGAAAAAGAAAAAAGAAATTATGTAGCCTAGTTGGCATTCCGTATTCACCACGTCATTTACACGTAGGAAGTCAGTAAAAAATTTTGACAAACCGAGGCGTGAAATAATGATAACATTTAACCTATTGAATAGCATCTGGTTTAAACAAAAAACCACATTACTCTCCCTCTTTTTTTTTACGTCACCCTTTCTCCCGACGATCTCCTTTGTCGCGGTTCTCTCCGTCGCCGGCCTCGCCATCCGATCCCGCCGTCGAATAAGTTGCATGTCAAAGACGTCTCTTTTCTGCCAGTATTCTTCCAACCTTTTGGAAGATATAATCAGTACTGTACAGGGAGTTTTCTTTCCCAAAATTTGAGATAGATGACAAATCTCTGTTGTTTACACCGTATTTATAGTGTTTAGAGGATATCCCCGGATTTTAGAGTTCGAAAATGGGGCTTCTATCATATGTCGATTTGGGTTAGACGAAGAGAGGGACGATTGTTCTTTCAGTTTTCGAGATGGTTGGACATGTTTGCACATTCGAAACCTATGAAACGAGCATCTACTACACAAGAGGGTCATAGCCAAGGGACATTATATCAAAAATACATTTACTTTATTATTTTTACTTCAATACATATTCCTCTCCAACTATGATCATGTGATCCATGTGACCCAAAATACAGTGTGATCACATTTTGATTTTATTGATTATAACGTTAAATTTATGGTGATCACACTAATTCATTATGTTCATACATTGTATATCTTACTAATCATTTGATTACAACATCATAAATTTAACGTTATGAGCAATGAGATCAATATGTGACCACACTATATTTCGGATCATATGAGTCACATGGTCACAGTTGGAGAAAAGTATATGTTGAAGTCAAAATAGCAAAGTAATGGTATTTTTTATAATGTCCCTAGCCAAGGTGGTGTTAGTTGCTGCTATAAATTCAGAAAACAGTTTCATCATCAACCCAGAAAAATCAATTGTGCATTGCGAAGAGAAAATTCACTATATTTAGAAGTTAACCCAATGGCTTTGGTGTTTTAAGGAAAATGCAGAGATCTATCCCACCTCGAGTTCGAGTATCAAGTTAGAGAGAAGAATGTAATTTCAATCACATAGTTTACTCTCGAATCCGATATTAGTCTGGACCTCGATCCAAGATACCCGGTTATCCAAACAAAACTGAGAATTTTTTGCCAGAAATCGTTCTCTCGTGACCATGGTTATCGAGAATGGACTGCGCTTTCACGTTGATTTAGCAAGAGTGTATGTCTATTCTTTCTCTCATACCAAAAAATAAAACTTTTACCATCGTTCAATAGGGTTTGTTAAATGCTGTAAAAAATGAGTTTAGTCATATACTAACTTTTTTACATAGATCACTTTCATCTCTGCCATCAAAGTTTGCATCTCGGCCTTGTATTTTTCAATATCCGACGTCAGTTTTTCTAACCCTAAATGAACTTCCTCCATTTCTTCAAACCAAAATCTATCGATTCATTTCCTATGTCCCTCAACAATCTCAACTAAATCTAAATGTAAATATACTAATAACATCATGATCTCAACAAAAACTAAACATACGAAAATTCCAAACATGATTTCTTCTGTTTTCTCCTGCGCAGGCTTCGACAGACGTCGTTTCAAATGAGGGTGCAGATGAGAGGAGATGGGTAAAAGAAAGAAATTAGGGTTATAAAAATAGAACAAAATCCGGTTTATGTTAAATCGGATTCAAGATTTGGTGATTTGTCATAATTTTTTTCGTGGCATTTATGTGTAAATGATGTGGCGAATACGGGATGCCACATCAGATTTATTAAACGACACATTAACGTCGTCTTATTCTGTTCAATTTATGCATTGGGGAATATATTTGTCAAATTTTTAATTGGGGATTTTCTTCTATGGAAGATTTTAAAGAATTTGAGATTTTTTTTAGGAATTTTTCCTAATTAAATTAAATTCATAAAAATTTGATGGTTCGACTCAAGTGCATGATGGTTTGACCCAAGTTGTTTGACGGTTTGAAATTTAGGGTTTAGAGTTGGATTTCGGGTTAGATTTAGTATTTAGGGTTTTAAGTGTAGAGTTTAAAGTTTAGGGTTGACGGTTTGACCAATGGCCTGACGATTTGACTCGAAAAAAGTAGGTCTAAATTAAATTTTAAAGATTTAATATGATGTATATATAAGGGTTAGTAGACTATATTCACTGTGTTTTTTTAATCGAAATTCATGTGATTAAAAATCTTTTAATATAAGTTATCTTCATCCAATATGTTTCAAAAACTCTACTAAAATTTTAGGGTTTTGCTGGAACAATATGCATTGTTATAATAAAAAAAAGAGTGATATAATAAGAGTGTTAGAATTATTTTAAACTTAAAATACTTGTTATATTGGATGATTATTAATATACTTATAATTTTATAGGGATAAATTAATTAAATTCAATAGAATTTGACGGTTTAATCTGAATATGATGATTTGATGGTTTGGATTAAAATAAGTATGTCTAAATTAAGTTTTAAAGATTTAATGTGGTGCATAGTAGAATATATTTACAGTATTTTTTTATCAAAATTCATATGATCTAAAATCGTGGAACATAAATAATTTTCATCCAATGTATTAAAAAAACTCTATTAAAATTTTAGGGTTTCATTGAAATAACATTCATTATCACAGAGTGATCGAATAAGAACGTTAGGATTATTTTAAACTTAAATATTTGTTATATTTGATGATTATTAATATGATTATAATTTTAAAGGGATGAATTAATTAAATTTAATAAAGTTAGACGATTTGATGGTTTAATCCAAGTATGACGGTTTGATCTGAACCATAATATTAATGTTTAAGAGTAGAATATGGAACAGGTCCTTTGTAACCAATAGGATAACCATATAACTTGTAACATTTATGGATAATGTTTGTATAAACATCATAATGTGTACATAGAGGTTTTCTGTTTTGACTTGAAATTATTCTAAAGATAATTTTATATTGGTAATCACAACATGTATATAGAAGTTATATTGATCATACCGTATAAAAATTTATACTAATCACACATAAATTACATTGATCATACTGGTCATACGTACAATACACACACCAAACTAAAAACCTTAAACTTTGTTTCGATAAAATTTTATTATTGGTCACGATGATAATAGTTTTTCTCGATTATTGTGCATGCTGAAAATAGTATGATAGTACTTTTGGGTGACATTCGAATGCCAAATGGAGAGATTTTCGACTCAAACCACTGCGGTCAACAATGGATAATTAACAAAGTTTTATATATTTATTATATTTTTTTGATATTAATACTGGTACTTTTTTATAGAGTTTCATCTTTTAAATTGTATTTGATTCATTTCAGAAAAATATTAATTTATACAGATAAACTTGTATTGATGAAATTTTATCAATTTAATTTTTTTTACAAGTATAAAATGTGATTTTTATATTCTATATCAATAAATAGTTTCAGTTCAAATGAATCGTGAAAAATAAATTTTAGATTATATCCTGTCCACAAAATTCAACTGTATAGTAACATTTTTTTTTATAATGTATTGTATTATAATTCATATCATAGATCATATCAGCTATCAGAAATTCAGAAATAGAGGAGTACGATCACACCGCGCATCAATCTCCAATAAATGTTACTGTTACATAATAATTAATTCGCACGTTTTTAAAAGATAATTAAAATAAAATTCGTTAAGGATGCCGACACGTGTCATGCACTCACGCCGCCGGCTCCACCTGCTTTAGTCATATTCCCGGAGGCTTCTTTCTCGTTGCTTTCCTACGCGATATCTATCTGGCAATCTCCCTCCTCCCTTCCGACAACGACACGAACACAGAGAGAGACAAAACACAAGGAGATCGATCGGAAGCGCGGGAAGAAGACGGAGGAGGAGGATCTCAATGTTGAAAGAGGAATACTTGGATCTGGTTCTGGTTCCTTTGGGGCTGGTGATAATGGCGGCTTATCACGCGTGGCTCGTCTCCGCCGTATTTCGCCGTCCGAAGCTCACCGTCATCGCCCTCAACGCCGAGTCTCGCCGCCAATGGGTATTCTCCATGATGACCGTACGTTTCTTTCCCCTTTTGTTGCGTCGATAATGACGCTTACTTTCGCGATGGGTTTTCTGATTCTGAGCTGGAGATTCGGAATTAGGGTTTCTGTAGGCGAAATTGTTGGAATTTCGGCCTAAAGGAGGAAACTTTTGCTTACCCTTCCGAGACTTTAGAGGTTTTATCCGAAACTCCGCCCAGTCTTTGTTTACGGAGTTGTTCCGTTCATTATTCCAGGGGTTTAAGGGGATGATAATGGTGGATTTAGATTCTAGGAACAAGATTTTGTTCTGCTTTCTCCGGAGAATTTCTCCAAAATAGAAACTTGGGTTCATGGAGTGGCTTCTTTTCATGATTCTTCTGAGGTTTTGGAGATTTAACTGAGTATATTCATTCACAGTTTAGATGAATCAAACATATTGTATCAGAAGAATTAAGCAGTGTTGATTTGTAAGGACGAGATCATAAAGAACTCTAAGTTTTAGTTAATCTGCAGAAGTAGTAGAAGCATCTTTCACGCTCAGTTCTCTGAAAATTCCGGACCCTCTTTAGAAAAAGAAAACCTTACTGTAATCTGTAATGCTCTTTTGTCACGGGGTCAGACGGGAGGTCGAGAAACCTCGGTACCGAACTGCCGCACGCCATTTTTTCCCGTCCCGAAAAAGTGCGTGACACTTTTCTGTTCAAGATTGAGGAAAGCTGGAATTGTCAGAAGTTAATGTGGAAGTTTCTCAGACATGAATCAATAAAGAGATTGTCCTTTTATCAAATTAAGCCTTTCTTTTATGTGGCTTTTGCTTCTTTTTTCCCATGGAAGCTCTATATCTATGATCAAGAGAGTACTTGTTTTTTTTTTCTGATTCATGGAGAAGCATATAAGGGCCTTTGCCTGATTTGGTTTGCATTTGACCACTTGTGATTAGCATTAAAAGTGTTTCTGGCTCCAAGATTTGTTTACTTTTACTGCATAATAAATTGTTCATTCATGGATATAGTTTCTCCCTTATGCAATTGCAGGATCCGCTGAAGAATGGTACATTGGCCGTCCAGACAATCCGAAACAACATAATGGCGTCGACCCTTTTGGCCACGACAGCAATCACTCTCTGTTCGATCATCGGAGTCTTCGTCAGCAACTCCTCGGGTGCAAAATCCTCAGCCTCGAGTATCGTGTACGGCAACAAAAGCCAGGTCCTCACATCGATCAAGAACTTCACAATCCTGGTCTGTTTCCTCGTGGCCTTTCTCTGCAACGTCCAATCCATCAGGTACTACGCACACGTAAGCTTCTTGGTGACAGTTCCCGTCTCGAGGGGCAAGAAAGAACACTGTGAGTACGTTGCCAGAAACTTGAACAGGGGAAGTTATTTCTGGTCGGTGGGGTTACGTGCTTTCTATATATCGTTCCCGCTCTTTCTCTGGACCTTTGGACCAATCCCCATGTTCTTGTGCTGTTGTCTCATGTCCTCTGTTCTCTATTTTCTCGACACGACCACGAGCTTCACTCGGCTTCTCCATAGCCAATCGTTCAGAGAAGATTCTGAGTCGATGGGCGGTGAAATCGAATCTGCGGTTCATTCTCTGTAAGATGATTCTTCTTCTCTCTTCTCCGTGTTTATGGAGTTTTATGGATGAGCGATCGAATTATATATGTGTAAGATGAATCTGTGTTTGATGAGTGAGAGTTCGTTAAGTGGGGTTTTTGTTCTTACACCGATTACCGTGGTGTTAACCGAAGTTAACCGGTTTTGTGAATTGACAAAACCAACCGGTTAATCTGTAAGGTTGGTTTTTACCGTTATAATGATATATATATTTTTTTATTTTGGTTTTCGAACGATTATGAGAGAGAGAGAGACCCCTGAGGAAGTTTGTGATGATAAGTAGAAAATGAAGCTTTAATTTATAAAATGTAGACATCTTTCCTTAGGATATTTACCAATAATAATTTATAAACGGGAGCAATGATAATTTATGTATAATTTGGTAGGGATCAATTTAATTTTATTAAGAAAATCAATTTTATTTAAAATTTTATAAAAATTCTAAAAAATATAATTTTTTTAATTGAATAAATGTGGGCGCATGCCCAAGGTAGGTCCGCCCATGTCCACCGATATTAATATATGGAATATTTGTTCTGTATATTCATTTATATATTTTCGTTTGGACTTGGATTTAAATTTTTTAGATATCGATAGACAGAATTTTGTATTAAATCATTAACATTATACCGGATGGTACCCAATTAGAGTTGGCCGGATGATTTTTGATTGAAAATGATAGGAGTCTTTTTGTCCCAAATTTCATGTTCGAATAGTCAGACTTTCTATAGAAGAGAGAAAGGAAAAGATTTTTTGTTTTGATTAATATGAAATGAAGTATACAGAACGTATTTATATTAACCTTAGCCACATATTCTAATACGCCCCCCGCACGATAGAAAATGAAAACGAAACATTACAACCATGAATATGAACCTCTACGGCATAAAATGAATCCCCACGGCTCGAAGAATGTCGTGGCCTCTATGGCATGAGATGAGCCTGTTATTTTTTAAACTTAATATATATGCATAACTTAATACATATATGTAAGTTATCCATGCGGAAATTAAAACTGAATCATAAAACTCATACCTCCCGTCATTGATTGTTGTTCCAATAGTCTTTGGATACTTCTAAACTATTACAAAACTCATACGACGGTGTATTTTTCTGGAGAAGCTTGCTAGTTTAGAGATTTTAAGGCATCTATTTATACTGATTTCTCCATCAGAAATCAATGATTTATTACTCCCACTATGAACTTAATGCACCATTAACGGATGAATTATTACCATTTTGTATTAGTGGAGAAATTATTAAGACTTAAGTGGGAAAACCACTAAAACCACTAATCTTAGTAATAATTCGAACATTCTCTCACTTGATTCATATATATATATATATATATCAATTAAGGATACATCTTATAAGAAATATAATACATTAATCATGGCGATAAGTCCTCTTAAAGCGAGTATTATCTTCCATGTATTACAATGTAACATATTTCTTCAAGTTCATATATAGTATAGTAATACAACTTAATGAATAAGCCTTATGCTTATTCTAGGTCCAAATATGTTAGTAACAGAATATGTGCATCTAAACATGACTGATGTCGCGAATCTAGGTGTATAAATTCGATCAAGTAATAGTATTCTAAACTCAACAAATACCGCAAATATACGGATCGTGTATAGTAGCTAGGGTCGAACACATGGACAAAAGTAGACAAAGAAATCAAATCCAAATCCAAGTCTAAAACTAGAGAAAATAATATGAGTGTAAGAGTGTGTAGCAAAGCAAACAATAAAAACGGTTGTAAACTATGAATGATGAACACTGCAGGCTTCAGGATTGCTTTACATGCAAGGGTCTTTCAAAAGATGCAAACTCACTGGTTTATGAATCCAATTCAGGGAATTCAACGTCTAAAGTAGAGATTTACTCTCTCGAGTCTAATTTCACTATCCAGACTTTATCTTATTAATCTCTCGATTTAATAGTCTAAAATCCTGGATGTATGAACGAACGCTATCATAATCCCTAGGAAAATATTCATCTCTCGATGCAATACCTGTTCTATTTATTGAGTTATTTCTAGATTAGAATCATATATGTCTATGCGAATTAAAACCCTAAGTTCATTCAATCAAGCGGCCAATAAGATCAAACACATTAAGAACACTTTAAAAAACTGAATAGAATAAATAAATCCATAAAGTCTGGAATTAAAAACCAAAGATCCCTACATAGCAAATCTCTAACAGTAGAGGAACTACTCGCTAAACATCGAGATGTCAGGGTTCATATCAATAATACAAAACATCGTAAAATAGAATAGGGAAGAATGCTTAGTCGATTTTCCGACTTCTAATCTCCGTCTTCTATTCCGATCTCTTGTCTCTTGATAATTGTTCCCTTTTGTATGCTCTAGGGTGTATTTTCTGTCAAAGTATGCATATTTTCGACTTTGGAGGCTAACCCTAATTATTTCCTCTTTCTTTTAGGCAAATTTGGAAGATTTCCGGAATTTAAGTGACCCGATCGTGTCGGCAATAAGTGACACGATCGTGTCATGTCGCAGTTTTGACGGACTTCACGAATTTGCTTATAACTTCCTGTTCCGACATCGGATTTAGGTGATCTTGATTCTATGCATAGAATCGAAAAGAGCTTTCCAATGATGTAGAGAATGCATCATTTGGACTTGTAGAGTGAAATTCATTGGACTTGCAAGATCTGACGTTTTCTGAGCTTCACGTTTTCCCTGGAAACACTCCAAATATTCCCGTTTCGTCCGTGATATTCCATAGTCCATGTTTTCCAGTCCTTTTGCTGTTTTTATGCGTAAAAACTATTTAAACACCAAAGAACACAACCATCCAATATTGAAGCAAAATGTGCCCTAAAATGCCTACAAATATGTAAAACCGAGTGAAATACGCTAGGCATCCTATATTAAAACATCATATAAAATACATGTTATCAATGACAAAAACTCACCTGAATAAGAGTTTCATACATATACATCAAATGTATGCACATGTAGAATAAATCACATTATGGAACCAAGTCCCATGTTAGCTACATGATCCCTGAAAATCTTAAATGGCATGCCTTTAGTTAAAGGATCAGCAATCATCAATTTAGTGTTAATGTGTTCAATGACCACTTTCTTTTGAACAACACGTTCTCTTATGGCCAAGTACTTAATGTCGATGTGTTTACTTCGGCTTCCACTCTTACTATTCTTAGCCATAAAGACAGCAACTGAATTATCACAATATAACCTCAATAGCTTAGAAATAGAATCCACAATTCTAAACCCAGATATGAAACTCTTCAACCATACACCATGTTGTGTTGCCTCGAAGAATTAAACAAACCCGGCTTCCATAGTAGAAGTAGTAATTAATATTTGTTTACTACTTCTCCATGATACAGCTCTACCGACAAACATAAATATATATCTAGATGTCGACTTTCGTGAGTCAACACAACCAGCAAAGTCTGAATCTGAGTAGCCGATGACCTCCAATGTGTTTGTCCGTTTATACATAAGCATGTAATCTTTTGTACCTTGAAGGTACCTTATCACTTTCTTTGCAACTTTCCAGTGGTCCAAACCTGGGTTACTCTAATATCTTCCTAACATTCCCACAACAAATGCAATATCATGTCTTGTGCAGACCTGAGCATACATCAGACTTCCAACAACAGAAGCATATAGGATGTTCTTCATTTGTTCCCATTCAAACTCGTTTTTCGAGCATTGATTCAAACTGAACTTATCATCTTTCACAATGGGTGCTATATTTGGTGATCAATCTTTCATCTGAAACCTCTCTAAGACTTTGTTAATATAGGTTTCTTGAGATAAACCCATAATACATTTAGATCTATCTCTGTGGATCTTAATGCCAATGACATAAGATGTCTCACCCATATTCTTGATATCAAAATTCTTAGAGAGAAATTGTTTCACCTCATATAACAACCCTTTATCATTGGTCGCAAGTAAGATGTCGTCCATATATAGAATAAGAAAACAAATCTTACTCTCACTGACCTTCTGGTATATGCAGTTATCCATAGTGTTTTCTTCAAAACCGAAAGAAGTAATAACACTATGAAACTTCAAATACCACTAACGGGAAGTTTGTTTCAGTCCATATATGGATCTCTTAAGCTTACAGTGTTGGGGTTTTAGAGATCCCTAAACGTGCGTTCACAGCGATTTCGAGGGTTCCAACTTTGGGTTTCACGCAACGGAATATATATAAAATGAAACCCAATCAACAGATCTTGCATATAATGATAAAGATATCGATATACCAACCTGTTACGATCGAAAGACCTGTCACAAACGCTGAAATCAAGCGCTCTCTATAGTTAGTCCACACTCACGGGTTTGTGTCTGCTAGAACGCGATCTCGAGGTCGGGAATGAAAACCGAGATGATCCCGGGAGAGAGAGAAGACGGCGGCCGCGAGTTAGAGAGAGAGAGGGACGAAAAAAACTCTTAATCACAAAGTTATGTCTAACTCATAATTATAAGTGATTTAGGGTTTCATTAAACAAAATGGGCCTAATGGACTTTCTCTTAACCATTAAGAGATATTAGGCCATTAGCCTTATTAATACACGTATGGGTCCATTGGGCTACCTAAACTCATCCAATGGATTTCTAATCAGTTTTGTAAAGCGATCGTGACCAGAGCACAATATCCATCATACAGACCAAATGCTCACCATTACTAGAGAATAATCCTTCAGGTTGTTTCATGTAAACATCTTCCTCTAGTTCACCATTGAGAAATATCGTTTTCACGTCCATTTGATGTAATTCCATATCAAAATGGGCAACTAATGTCATAATCACACGAAAAGAATATTTCTTTGATACAGGAGAAAACGTCTCTGTGTAATCGATTCCTTCCTTTTGAATGAATCTTTTGGCTAGAGTATGGTTTTATATCTTTCGATGTTGCCTAATGAGTCTTTCTTGGTCTTAAAGACTCATTTACATCCTATGGCTTTTACGCCTGTAGGCAACTCGACAAGATCCCAGACTCCATTTGACGTCATCGAATTCATCTCATCTTTCATGGCATTATACCATAAGTCTGATTCTTTATAACTCATGGCTTGTAAAAACGTCTCAGGATCATTTTCGGCTCCAATATTGTACTCTTACTCTTGTAGATACACCACATAGTCATTCGGAATTGTTGGTTTTCTCACTCTTGTAGATCTTCTTAATGTTATACTAA